CACAATTTTACAACAATAATAACTAGCTTTGGTATGTCATAGCATTCAAATATTTTTGGTGGATCAATTTAAAATTTAGGTGGGTTGATTTAATAGTCTCCTAAAACTATAATACAAATCTAATAAAAATCATAATTTAATTAAAATATTATAATACGTATAAATGGTTGTGTCAAAATAATTACATCAACATCTATATATATATATATATATATATATATATATTTTAAATCAAAAATTCTTAACCTTGTATTTATTTAAAATATCAATATTATATAATTGTTAAAACTATTAAATTTTAATATATTTTTTCATATATTTTTTTTAAAGTAATTATATTTTAATAATTAAACTCAATAACTAATTTAAAAAAATTTATTAGAAAAAAATCATTTAAAAAAACTATAATTATTTTTTAGAAAAGCCACAAATATAAATTACATAATATTTATTTTTTAAAATTTCGTCAAAACTAAGCTTTAAGATGGATGTATGCTATAACAAAAAGATTCAAAACTTTCAAATGATTTGATGTATTAAAATAATTAGCTTACACTTTCATATCCTAAATGCCAAAAATAAGATCTTTTAGATATATAAACTAAAAATTATAGATTAAAATAATAAAAATTAGACATAAATAATAAAAAGATAAAACATAATAAATCTTTTAGAATATGTATATAATGCTTATTTATTTCAAAGAATATATAATAAAACAGTCCATTATTACTTTAAAGATCAACTTATTTTTTAAAAAATATCTCATTCTCAAAAATGATTAATCTTAAGAATAGTTTCTCTTAAAAAATATTTTGAACCATTTAGAAAGATAATAGATTTTCTATTTTTTTAGTATACATATTTTTTTAACACCAATTTATAACTTTTAAAAATTTTAAGAATAAAAAATGTTGAAAATATTAAATCATATCTTTCTCTTGAGAATCAACATGTGTATATATATATATATATATATATATATATATATATTTCTATTTATATAAAAGATAAAAATACATTATCTTCAACCTATTTTCATTCATAATAAATATTTAAATTTAACTATAACAAAGTTTCTTATATGTTCTACAATTATCAAGTTTAAAATGTTTTTATGTGTGTATGTGTATATATATACAATACTTGTATATATTGAGCCTTCTAGAACTTGATATGATCACCAGAAAAAGATTGTCTGGAGTATTGGATTATGATACAATAGTAATGTAGTGTATAATATTCTTTGCCTAGACCACTAGCACCACTATTACTACTAATTCTTGTCTACATGATAGTAGATGGTTGGCTGTAATTAACATTTTTAGCTCAATGAATCATTAAAACTGTTTCACTTACCAAGTAATAGAGATATTGAGTTACAACCATATAACAAATTTGGTGGGAAAAAAAATATCAAGCAATAGAGGTTATTGAATATTGTACAAAAGGCTAAGTTATTAATGGATTATTGTATATGGAATCTTATATGTTTACATTTTAGTGAATGAAGGTTGTAGATTTTCTTATAGATTTTTACTAAATTAAAATACAAATAGTTGCAAAAAGTTGTGCCCAAATAATTTTATATAATTTTTGCAAATTCTACTTGACTTCTTGCTTTAGAGAGACCTTCAATTCCAAACACACGTTTTGCAAATCCCAATCAAGGTCTTATTTCAGCAATCTTTGTATCTTATCAGCTCCAATTCATGTCTTGCTCTGAATTTCTTTTCAATCATCTCCCACAACCTCCGGTTAATTCATATGCCCAGCATGTGAAACCTATGGTGAGTGTTTCTCGGATAGAATCGTAGCCACTTCGAAAAGAGGGTTCCCTTCTTAAACACCGGCAGTTTCGGTGCAGTTTGGTGTAATTTGGTGCTGCTTTGCAACTACTTTACGTCCTGCCTAGTGAATCCCCTGTGTGTCGTGGTTCAAATATAGGAGGTTTGATTAAAATTCTTGAAAACTTTAAACTATGAGAATTTTCAGACTCAGAACACTTCATTCTAGAAAAGAGAGTGCCTGAATTGGTTCTTACCTTCCACCTGAGAGACCTGTCGAAAAGGCTATCTGCAAATAAAGCCAGCTCAAAATGACTATTGTTACAGGAGCTCAAAGATGCGTTTACTTCTACGCTTCAAAAATTGTTCTTCAAATTTCTTGTATTAAAGGTGAAAAACTAAGAGCACAACCCTGAGGTAGCATGGAGCACAACCAGGA